TCGGCAAAGCCATGACAGTTTTGACATACATTTGACGCACGTCAAAGTTTGGATCAAAGCTATGATCATATTTGACCTCGACTTTGATCAGGATCAAATTTAGAGTAAATCCAATTTTTCGTGCCGTGCACTAATCACGACATTGATTACAGTCACTACAGTAACCAATTCAAAAGACTGACTTTGTAAAATTGTGAAGGTTTAGTTTCCGGTGACTTTTTTGAAAGAAACTTGACAGCCATTTTGCAAGCTATTCCCAAATTCTTAATTACGATATTTAAAAATGACTATTAAAAGCTATTCTCAAATTGTGGGAAATTGTAATGGTTATGATTAATTAGTAACAGGACATCCTGTCATTCGATTCAGTCTGTAATCATACGAGTGATTAACAAAATCGGACGACCGCGAAGTGGGAGTTCGATTTGTTAATCACGAGTATGATTACGGACTGAATCGAATGACAGGATGTCCTATTGCCATTATAAACCGCAAACTATCAAAGAAAGTTTTATTGATAATTCTTAACACACTGAGTCATACTAAGAGTGGATGAAGGGTGATAGAATTAATCCACAATACAAACCTTATTCTCAAAGTAATCCCCCATACAGACCTTATTCTCAAGATGACGTTTGAATTTTCAAGTGTTTGCGTTGCGTGACACCAGGAGCCCATCATTGGTGACACTAAAATGGAGGGCCGAGAGGGCTTTCGCGTCGGTCAAAAGAGGAGTTATCGCTCACGTTTTAAAAGTTTTTTCAGTACAAGAATTATTACTTTCAATGTGTCGAAACTTTCGAGTGATAATTTTTCGTTTCAATGGCAAAATTCAATGACAGATGTTTCCGTTACTTTACGGCCGCCATGTTGGTGCCCCTTGGAAGGGCGTCAAATGACGTCTTCATACAAAGCTCTATAAATTTGAGTGAAACACTTTTCCCGAATAACGCGCGAATGAAAACCCTAAATCTAGACGAAGTTTTTTTACATATCAGTCATCTGTCATATCCCAAATTCTTGACTTGATTTATTGAATTGTTACTATTATTATTTTTGGTTACATGACAATGTAAACGAGCAATATTAAGAAAACAAAAACATATGCCAAATGTCGTGTTTTATAACTTGAATTGCGAATAACGTGCCCAACATAAATGAAAGGTGTTGACTGTGTGATATAAAAAAAGATTTCATGGCCAGTCGAAACTGAAAGCTTATCCTACGATTCGAAAGTGTGATAACTGTCTTGTCATTGTTATTATTGTGACGGAGATTTCCTTTCAGCTGATGCAGACTATAACTTTGAATTCCATTCTGAGTTGAACTTAAATTAAGGAACGATTTACGTACTTTTTTTAAAGCCATTTTGGAAAGGTAAGTACAGAAAATTAAAAACAAACGTTTTGTCCCAAATGTTTTATAATTAAGATAATTTATGCAATTTTCAAAAGGGCAAGAATTTTTAGCATTTGTAAATAATAATTGCTCAAGAAAATATACCCGGCAAAAACAACTGATTTAGGCATTGTGATGCTTGGCGTTGAAGGCCTTGTAATACATTACACAAAACTGATGAAAATATTACTTATTGAAGTGACAAGGTAAATTGTTTTTTATGTGTTCCAGTTGAACTAAACATTGTTCTTTGACTCTTTGAACTGATGAAGTAATAATAAGGAAATAAGAGTTCTTTCAACATCTAGCAATCCATTTAGCTTCATGTAGTTAACGGTCAAAGCACGGATTAAAGCAAAAACGAATTAGAGAACAAACCTTTTATTAATTCTTCTTGCAGGGAAAGTTTCTCTTGTGGACATACCTGTTACGTTTGTACTTTTTCATATTCTGAACTGAAGTGGTGAGTAGAACCTTGATTTTCACTTTCCTTGGTTTTAGTCACCTAACTCTGTCTTGGCTAAATCTAAACAACCTTCATATAGCTGACTGTGTTATTGGCTGCTTTACAACAAAATGTTTTGACCATATAAACGTTAAAATTGTCAATGATAATCCACTATCATTATTTACTGCGAATGTTCAACCTCTAAGGCTTTCATCTGAAAATTGTGATGTTTGCACAACTTTATTCTAATAGTATTCCGGCTTTTATTTCAGTAATGTTATATTTAAAATACAAAATGCAGACCTGGGAGTGAAAATGGCAATTTTTATCGTTCAAAACGTTTAGAAGTCTGCCATTATCACCAGTTACAATGAAGTAACATTGTTTCAATCTGAATTTTTAAGTTTGAAGTAAACAATTAAAAGAAAAAAGAACGTAACGAACAATACAGTTCAAAAAAAGTTAGGTATCGTGCAGAAAACATTCTTTGTATGTCGTTCCTGTACATTGAAACAAGCCAAACAGCACTAATGCTTTGCTGTCCTTTTTAAAGGAAGATTCCTTTTGCTGACACAGATTGAATTGGGCGTCATTCTGATTTTTAAATCTCAAGAAACGGTAAGGACAGTCAGTTAATAGAACAGATGTAAGATATCGTCTATTCGAATCTCTCGTTAGATTTCTTTACTGTAAATTTACGAAAAATATTTATTTAAGCTCTAATGTACCATTGTCCTTTCTAGGGGGAGACCCCTGTTCCTGAAAGAGATCGAGTGGGATCTCATTCTGATTCTCACATCCCACATAAAGGTTAAAAAAGTAAGTCGCTTTAGTCGCTATACTTCTTCAGAGTACATTAGTGTTGTACAAACAGATGCAAGAAGGTTTTGAATTTTTAGTGCAGAAATTTATATATTAAACGTCCATCCTCGACGACTTTCAGTTTTGTTGGTTGATCTTCCCCTGTGGTCTTGTCAAGTTTGTTTTATCTTCCTTGTCTGTTTTCTTTCAGTTTAATTTTGCAATTCTATCTCAGTCGGTCATGATTGTCATACAAGAGCATTTATCGTCAGCTGTAGCTTTAAGTTTCTCACGTTTATTTTTGTGTGTGATTACAACTTTGCTCATCTAACTTAACTTTTGTCGGCGAATTGTAAGTTTGACGTAATATATCAAACACGAAAGACCGTGTTTGACCCCATTTCCAAACACCGAGAAGAGAGCTGCAAATACGACGCGTAGCTGAGTATTTTTGACAAACTTCGAGGTATTTGGAAATGCGGTCAAACACTGTCTTGCGTGTTTGATATATCTTCTCAATTGAAACTAAAACTAAGAAGAAAACAGAGAAATAAAATCGTAAAAATCTATGCTAATTAAGATCAAGTATCCAAACACCGTCACGGTCATGTTTTCTTTTGTTTAAACTTGATGAATTATTAATGAGTTTGAGACGCGTTTATCTTTATCCCTTGCTATATTTTTGGCGTGGATTTCTGCTTTGTACTTCTGACATCCTTTGTAATATTTCAGTCTTTATAGTCGCGTAACGCTAGAGGGTAAAACATTTTTTTTTTTTTAAGAAATCCAAGTCCATAAGTAAACCTGAAATGTTTTTGTTTTTGTTATCCTACAGACAAAGTCCTGGTGTAAAGTGAAACTGTTGCCTTAAATTCTGTATTCTTTCCCCAACGAAAGAGAAGTGGTGAGTAAAACCTTGATACCATTTCAATTTGATTTACAATTTAGTACCAAATAAGCAAAGCGAACTTTGCTTGTTTTTCACCAAACTAATATAACTCAATAATAAGACAAGGTTTACCGTAGTACTAGTCACTAATCATGTTTCACCGCCAGAAAATTTTCAAAATAAAGTACAGCTCCATTTTAACTATTTCTGATGATTTCTAGTACTTTCTGAAGGTATCCGGAGTGTCGAGCTACACTATTGAAAAAATTCAGGTAATTTGTCGTCTTATTCTTAATCAGCATTAAGTCGAAAATGTATTAAAACTAGGAATTTCTGCCAAAAACAAAAGCTCGTGCTATGGATGCAAAGGCCGGTACGATAATGCTTCCGCCCTTTGTATCGAAGGAAAACTCTTGGTTAACTTACCACGAATAATTTGCATTTCATAGAACGAGTTTGAATCAATTTCCAATCGACGGACCATCAACCAGTTTTTCCAATGAATTCTTCTGCTCGCGCTCTCAAGACATCCGTGCAAATTAATGGCTAATTTTTAATAAATATATCTTATTAGATACTTTGGTGTGTAGTATCGCTGCATATTTTTAGGAGTTGTGCCGTACGGGCTCGTCAAAATACAGACAATTAATTAATTAATGATTCGGTGTGTTAAAGGGACACAGTCAGCTGGCGCACATGCGCATTAGATACCATTTCATAGCTAATTTGCATTTCACAGAGACGCAATCTGCATTGTTTTTAACCAAATACGATAAAATAATATCATAGGATGAGCAGAAACACACTCAAAAACAGGTTTTTCAGTAAACGATTGAAAATCAAGCAAAACACTACGAGGATTGAAGCGGATTTCTAGATGTACTCGACGAGTAACTTTGATTTCAGGCTGAGGTGAACTCTTGTCAAAGTGAGAAAACTAGTGTCCAGATCAGTGCGGTCCCACAGCTGACCCTGTCCCTTTAACTGACTTGACGACAAATTTCTTTTCACTATAATTCTCCTTTAATCCTGACAGAAGTGTTTGACATGAACAACATGGACGAAGTTCTACAAGCCATCTCTATCAGCCTCATGGTTGCTTGCTTCCTTCTCAACACCAATCGCGTTCTAAAGAGCATCGAAATATGCAAGGAATGCTTGGTCATCTTGAAACACAAAGCATGCATCAAAGACGATAAACTAGTCAAATTATTGTACAAAAGGGTGTATTTGATACTGTCGAGGGCTTATCGAAATGAAACAAAATACGCAGAAAAAATTCTCCAGATTTATCGTGAAACTGGAGAAAAACTTGAAGAATATAAGCTAAGCTTCGATCTAGCAGCAATGTACTTCCGTCAAAGTAAATACGCAGAAGCGAGAGAACTATGGGAGAAAACGCTCCTAATCGGTACAGAAATTGGTGACAAAAATGGAGAAGCCTCCTCTTACGGAAACCTTGGAGCTGTGTATCAATCAGTTGGCAAATATGACAAGGCAAGAGAACACTTCGAGAAATCACTTGTCATCAACAAAGAAATCGGTGACAGAAACGGAGAAGCCGACTGTTACCTAAACCTTGGAGCTGTGAATAAATCAGTTGGCAAATATGACAAGGCAAGAGAACATCTCGAGAAATCACTTACGATCAACAAAGAAATCGGTGACAGAAATGGAGAAGCCAGCTGTTACGGAAACCTTGGAGCTGTGTATAGATCAGTTGGCAAATATGAAAAGGCGAGACAACATCTCGAGAAATCACTCTTCATCAATAAAGAAATCGGTGACAGAAATGGAGAAGCCAACTGTTACGGAAACCTTGGAGTTGAGTATCAATCAGTTGGCAAATATGACAAGGCGAGAGAACATCTCGAGAAATCACTTGTCATCAACAAAGAAATCGGTCACAGAAATGGAGAAGCCAAGTGTTACATGAACCTTGGAGCTGTGTATCAATCAGTTAGCAAATATGACAAGGCAAGAGAACATTTCGAGAAATCACTTGTCATCAACAAAGAAATCGGTGACAGAAACGGAGAAGCCGGCTGTTACCTAAACCTTGGAGTTATGTATAAATCAGTTGGCAAATATGACAAGGCAAGAGAACATTTCGAGAAATCACTTGCAATCAAGACAGATATCGGTGACAGAAATGGAGAAGCCAACTGTTACATGAGCCTTGGAAGTTTGTGTCGATTAGTTGGCAAAGGTGAAAAGGCCAGAGAACATCTCGAGAAATCACTTGTCATCAACAAAGAAATTGGTGATTGAGATGGAGAAGCCAGATGTTACAGGAGCCTTTGAGCTGTGTATGATTCAGTTGGCAAATATGACAAGGCAAGAGAACATCTCGAGAAATCACTTACGATCAACAAAGAAATTGGTGACAGAGATGGAGAAGCCGACTGTTACCAAAGCCTTGGAGCTGTGTATGATTCAGTTGGCAAATATGAAAAGGCAAGAGAACATCTCGAGAAATCACTTGCAATCAAGACAGAAATCGGTGACATAGATGGAGTAGCCACCTCTTACATGAGCCTTGGATTGTTGTATCAATCAGTTGGCGAAGAAGATAAGGCTAATGAACACTTGGAGAAAGCATTGGCGATCAAGAGAAAAACTGGTGACAAGGAGGGAGTAATTATGTGTTGCAATAATCTCGCCTTTTTATTTTCCTCTCTTGGTAAATATCCCAAGGCTAACAAATATAATCAGGAAGCACTTTCCATCGCATCAGAAATTGGACACAGGGAGGGGAAAGCCTTCTCTTTATTAGCGCAAGGAAATATCTTGTACTCAATTCATAACTATGTCAAGGGTAAAGAGTATTACGAAGAAGCAATTGCCATCTGCAAAGAAATTGGACAACGATATTTAGAAGCCGGTTGTTGCATATGTTCAGGAAAGGTTCTTTTCAAAGATGGTGAATATGTTAAGGCTGAAGAACATTACACGAAGTCACTTGCCATTAGTGAGGACATTGGAGATCTTTCTCTGCAGTACCAATCGCTCAAAGAACTAGCATGCTTAAGAATACAAGAAGGCAAGAATCAGGAAGCTACCACGTACTTACTTACTGCCGTCGAAAAATGCGAGAAAATGCGCGGCTCCCTACGAGATAACGATCAATGGAAGATATCGTTTTCGGATAACAAAATTTCTTCCTACAAGATCCTCTGTACATTGCTTTGTAAAACCAGAAATCTCGTGCCAGCTTTGTATGTTTCAGAGCTTGGGAAGGCCAGGGCTTTGGCAGATTTGATGTCAGCTAAGTACTCTGTGAAGAATCAAGTATCCGCTAATCCTCAAACATGGTCTGGAATTGAAAGCATCATCGACAGAGAACGTAATTGTTCTTGTCTATACCTCTCCTATTCTTTTGACAGCATGTATATCTGGATTCTTAAAAGAGGTGGAGTCACGTATTTCCGAGAAATTGAGGGAAAGGATCTTATTGCTTACGAACGACCTGTTAAAAATCTTGAAGACTTTTTTGCCAACAAAAGCTTTAGAAGTTTTGGCACGTCACCATGGCCAACGGAGCTACGCAAAGATGAGTCTTTAAATGCCATACAAGGTAAATCCAATTCATGGGAGGATGACAGCTATGAAGGTTTCCGGATTGGAAATGAAAGTAAAGAGAACCAAGGTCCAAAAATGAATCTTCCTCTGTGTTACAAACTAATCATCGCT